TGAAACACTTGTGTTCACTGAATATTAAAATATTAAAAATATTACTGAAGAAAAGATTTCCTTAGTCAAGCAGGTCTTGAAAAGACTAAACAAATTCTCCTAACACATGACTTTTCGTATCCTTAAACGAGATAATTTCTATTGAGCATCTCCATACCTATATCATTTTTTAAACTGAGTATTCAAATTTCATTTTTAGACATCATTGTTTAATGGAAAGAATCCAGTTTTATATCTCTATCCATTTATAGATTTGCAATATTTAACAAATTCATTCCCTCAGTTTTCCTACTGTAAAGAGAGGATTTAAAAAGATTTTATAAGTTTGTTGTAAGAAATGAAAGAATTCTGTGATGTGCCTGGTACTCAATACATAGAACTTAGTGCCTGTTTCCTTAATAGCATTATTTACAGCATAATGTCAAATCACATGTTATGACACACTGACTCATATCCACTTTCCCATGACCACTTAGTTCATGTCAAAGTGTCATGACAGTGTCAAACCATGAAGTTTCTTGTGCCATAAGCCCATTTTTCTCCTTGGATATGCCTTTATCATTAAAGATTTCTTTAGAGGCCAGAAAGTTTAGCCTAATTCTCATATACTTCCAAATTAGGAGGGCTGATTTCAGAAAATAGCCATCAGTCACAAAGGCCAAGTACATTCCTCTGTATGTTTTATGTTAACCAAATAATTCCTTGGTACTCTAAGAGTCAACTATGAGTTTTATTCTAGAATCATCACAACTGTAATTTTGATGGTTTGTAAGCCTGCTTTTTGCTATTAGCTTGGATAACCAAGAGTTAACTCCCTCTAAAATTAAATGGCATTTCTTTAAATTTAAATGAATTAGACCATGGTGCTTCTCTTGGCTACACGATAAATGCCATGGAAATTAAAGAAAATAGTTCTAATGTCATGAAACAGCAAAGGTCAGTTAGGGTGAGATGATTACTCTCATCATTATTAACATTGCTTTGCATTTAGATAGCTCCTTTCCTTTGCCAGGCTCATTCTCATTCCATCCCATTGCCTAAGCTCTGAGTAGCTTGTGGAGCTTCTGATGACATCAAGAGTGATCCCAATGTGGAAGAGATACTGAGAGTCAAGAGGGCAGTAAGCAATTAATCTTTAGGCTTTATTTGCTCACTCTGATCTTTTTGCAAACAACCTCCAAAAAACTGGGTTAAATCATACGCATCTAAAGTCTCTCCTGGGACTTCAGCATTATTTGAATTTCATTAATATTTGTTCTTTAAAATATGAATTTAGTGTTTTTTTAATACAAATTTTAAATTTGTAACTGTGTGGTGGGGGTGTGTGTGTGCACACATGCATGCGTGTGCTAAGGGGTATATGTGTTTATGAATATACGTCCACAAAGTTTGGGTGTTTGTTGTCTAAGCCAGATAATACCTAAAGTGCTAATGTGTGTCAGAAAAAATACAAAGTACAAATATCATTGAAAATAGAGGAAGACACTTCTCTCTCCCTTTTTCTTAGAGCGTTTACTTTAGAAAACTTGTGATTAGAAGTACTGCCTCCTCTCTTTGAAGTGTGTATTAATCCTTTTGAAAACTAGATTGGATTCTTGTAAGCTTTATGACCCAGGAATGTCTTTCTCAAGGATCTGAGAGCCATCTCTTTGAAATGTAAACATCAAGGGAGATGGTACGTTATGTCTCAGTTTCTGTGGTAGGGTAGGAGCCTAATTTTGATGTGAGCCTTGCTCCAAATTGCAAAACTACTTCCTGTCATAAAGATATGAGAAGTTAATTTTTCTTCTGGATAAAATAAATCAGCTAACACAAATGGTCACCCTACTTACCACGTAAAGTGGGGATTCATATGTGTGACAAATGGTCCCATGAAGTCCTCTTACTTGAGGACTAGTTGTTGTCTATATTGAAAACATATGTAATGAGTTGTCTCTTCTTGGCTGTATAAAACGGTGAGGTTTCTTTCTGTTTTTGTAATCTCTTACCAATTACCTATGATGTACATCACAGTCTGGTTTAATGCTTATTTAATGATAAAAGTGTTTTTATTTCTCTACTTTCTCTACTACCTAGGCAGAGAGGATTTCTGGGTTGGAAGAAGATTTTGTTTTTAGGTTTATTTCCCCAACAAATAATTGTGCTTTTAATTGGAATAATAGACTCAAGAAAACAAGAGAATACACTATTAGCTGTTCTTTACCATAAATGTACATTAGATTCATCTGCAGAGTTTAAAATACAGATTTCCAAGACCACATTTATAGAGGGTGACATCACTTATTTGAGGTGAAACTGGGGAGTCCCCACTTTTAACAACTAACCCATCTGATTTTGATGCTGGTGGTCAGTAGATGCCATTGCAAAGAGACATTTTTACATGACTTTAAAAAAATTCACTTTATGATAAATATTTCTTTTTCCTGTCCTAGTCATTTCATGGCTCTTTAACCTTCCTTATTCACCTTTACAAGTATATAAAAACCACACCAGCCACATCTCCTCTGCTGAGCAATCTTTTGATTACTTGGCGGTCTTATCCCTTCACAACAGGGTCATTGCTTGACCATCCTTCCCAGGCCTCCAGTGACTCTGATGAGAGCCACTGCCTTCCACTACACTGACGGAGTGAACACAATTTGCATCTCTCGCCTTCTCCAACTGTGTCTTTATCTCTCTTTGTCTCTTAAACAGACAACTACTACTTTTCCAAGGTTAACTCCTTCACCTGTACCACTGATCACTTCAATATTTTCTTTTCTCATTTCATCAATTATTTCTTTATTAGAATTTCCATTTTTTGAATACTTTCCCTTTACTCATGTATGCTCAGGCCTCTGTGGTCCCAGGAACTGTTTTCAATTCCTGGCTCAGGTTGTTCCTTTCTTTCTTCTTTTTGTTTTAACCACAAAAGTTATCTTATTGGTAGTCTATTTTCATACTTTTTATTTCCTACTCCCTACTCATTGATTATCCACTGCACGAGGCATCAGCTCTCATACAGCTATTGTCAGTTTTGATCTCTCCTCTCAGACCCAGGTCCATATTTCCTACTGCTGAATCGAAAGAAAATGCCACTGTACATTCTAAAAGCCTCAAGCCCATTATTTCCAAACTTGAACTTCCTTTCTAAAACATGCAAGTGTCCTTTGATTAATTAACAGCATCAACATCTACTTGTTCCAGTTCAAAACATCCTCTAATCTTCCCTTTCTCTCACCTCCCAAACCAAATCAGTTCTCAATTCCTGCTGAGTCTACCATAAAAATCTTTCTTAATAATTGTCCCCTTGTAGTGCTTCCACTGCCACTGCCGTCAGGATATTTCTCTCCGCCTCTAGTCTATTCTCACTTGATTCTACCTCTCATACTTCTCCTAATGTCTCTCCACATCACACCTTTTAAAAGGTACATTTAAAAAGACTCCATGACTCTCGACTGCCTACAAAATGAAGAGAAAACGCTTTCATTACACTGTATAACACACATTCTCACCAAAATAAGAATTTATTCACACTTCTAGCTCTAACTAGTTTACAGGGTCTTCAGGGAAAGAGGAGCGTGTTCAATGACACCTGGGGGTTACCGTTGGCCAGATCCAGGGTCAGAACTCTACAAGACAAATAAGCAAACTGCTCAAAGACATAAACAGCATTTTGTAAAAGCAAAGGACAGCGGGGAACCATTGTAAAACAAAATGAAATAAAAGCTGTATCAACAAATACTCTGTGTGAAGATTTCAGGGGCAACTTGGCTGAATTTAATGATATTAAGAAATTACTGCTGGGCTTATTGGATATATATGTAAAGGATAATGATTTTCAAGTTCTTTTCCATCACATATGAACACCAAAGCATGAATAATACATTTATTTTAAAATATGTCAGCGATGGGAGTGGTAAGGACAGGGATCAGAGAAAATTTATAAGTGTTGATAATTGATAATGCTGGATGACCAGTATGAGTGTTCTTCCTACTAACATTTACTTCTGTATATGGTTAAACTTTTCCGTAAGAATAAATGTAAATAAAAAGCTCATTTGTGATATTCAAAGCTATTCACAAACCTGCCTTAGCATATTTTTCTAGAATTCCTTTAGTCATTCCCACCATGACCTTCATATTTCACCTAACAAACCAAGCACTTACATCCAAGGTCTCAGTTCATGAAAACATTCAGACAATTTCTGATGTGCTCTCTGTTTAGAAATGGCACTTCATCTCTGTAACTACCTACCGATTGCTCTATGCGGATTTGCAGTTTCATGGCTGCAAACACAGAAGGACTGGCAGGTTTTCAGAATGTAAGCCACGCCCAAAGAGATTCAGTTTGCATGGCAGACTTGGAAAAGTTTCCAATCATCTAATCTTTATTTTGTAAATGTTGAACTGCGGTTCCATAACGTTAGCTAATATAAAATGATGAATACTTAGGTAAAACGTTGAGTAACTTCTCACTGAGTGCAGGTTTTAGAAACCTGTGGGACATGCCCATCAATATTGTCAAAATCTTCTATTTGTCATAATGCTGATGGGTTTCTGTGAGATTCATTCTGAAGCTGTGTACTTTGGTGGTAATCATCATTTCATTGAAATCGTGTTTTTTTATATTGCACAAAATTTCACAATCACTTTCTTAAGATTATTCCCATATAAATATATGAGCACATAAAAGCGGTTTTTAAAAGTCTGAATTAATTTATTAAAAAGGCACAAATTTTGCAAATTTTGAATGAAATTAGTCCTTCCCAATTTTTTATACATGAGGCAATATTTTTCATATCATCTGTGAGCAGCCATTATAACTGTGATGAACACTTCGTATGTTAATATGGATGTAATTTACAGCTCCAGAAAAATGTCTTGTCATTTGCCATTTGTTAGTATCCACTTAATGTAAGAGATAGCCCCCCGTTCTCCATATGTATTTAAATGACTTGCTCTTCAAATATAAACACTCTTCCAGAAGCAATTAGAGAACAGATTAGGTTTCTACTTACCAGGAAATCTACTGTGGAGGTTGGCATCACAGTTGTAGCCATTGAACTGAGCAGACCCTGGAAGCACTCTAATTGTTAGAAGCAGCAGCAACCATATTTGTTCCATTGCAAAGCCTAGAAAAGAGATATTTATCATGTGGACACTCCTACTTACTCCTTCACTCCTACTTACTGGAAAAACCGAGGCTGATCTCAGCTCGCTGTTGGATAAGCAGTCTACAACCATGCAGCCAAAGAACAGGAAATAACAGGATTGTCAGTAACAAAGGCTGATCTTTGGTTATAATATTTCAATATTGTTTTCATTGTTGGCTTTAGTTGGCTAAGAGTGACAAAGCTAGATTTCCATAGTAGAAGAGCTAAGGTATAAATAATAAAGTTTACAAAACGAAAATTCTTTATTATGCATGGGGAGAACTCAAACCAAGTATCCAGCAGATTGGAACAGCGGAACTAGGCAGACTGACTCATTTGGAGATGAGTCTACATCTTATAATACCAACAAATACAAAGTCAGAGGAATTTAAATGTTGAATATTTGATTCTGAGAGGACTCTCAATAATTTTAATGACCAAATAACAACTTTCCCTCAACAGAAAAACAAATGCCCCCAACAGAAGAATTCCAGACTACTGCTACTTTTCAAAATCCATGGTTTGTGTAACATTTTCTTAGGAAACATAGTGATAAGGCAAAAGGAAGAACAGGAAAACACTCTGGGTGTGAACAACATGGCAGTTCCACCTGTGACTGCTCCTTGGTGATAGTAAGGACTGATACAGACATAAGAAAATGTTGATTCTTAGGAGAAAGTAATGGAAGATGTTTTTAAATATATCAGTGTGGGTTGAACAGTTAAATAGAAATGGACTTTAATGCTTAAACACCAATCAGTCTTGTGTTTAATAATTATTTTTCTTGGAGGCTCATTTATTGGGCTGATAAGAGTTAAAACATCTTACAGAAAAATCTAACTTAGAGCAGAGTTTGTACACCAAAAAAAATATTTTGAGTTGGTGGTTTTGGTCTATGCATAAAAAGCTAAAAACATTGCAAATGGTTTACCCAAATAATTTAGTGCATTTTAAAAGCTTGGGTTTGAAAGGAAAAATGGTTTTTTACCTCTCCTTAAAGATCTGCCCTTAGATAATTAATCAAGTCTTTAGGAAAAGGAAGGAAACACATCTTGCTTTTGAATCATCATTTCAGAATAACAAGTTTACAGTGAATAAAGTCACTTTGGAGAGGATGTGGGAAAGAAAGGCATGCTTACTCTCAAAAATAGACTGAAAAAATTACTAATTCTGCAGGTTCTTCCTTCCTTCGGCACTAAAACATACTACTCAGAAATAGACCTAAAGATGTTGGGGAGAACAGCCATATGCCTGGTTAGTTCTGATTGCCTGTGACAGTCCATAAGCAAAAGGCTCACACCACTGACTGACCTAGACCCTAGGCTCTCTTGGCCATACCTATGCCATCATTATCCAGCTCCTCAAGATGCTTCAAATAGAATTAAGACAGCTTTGTTCTTTTTGGGTCTTTGGAAGACACTAGAAAAGAAAGAAGCCTGGTTCTAAGCAATACACTCCACTGCACCCACACTTATTCCATGCCCACCACTTCCTTCTCATGATGGGTCCCAAGGCATTGGAGGCTCTAGACCCACACTGTTGTCCCCCAACATAGAGGTGTCTCCTAAGAAATTACAGAATCAGGAATTTAAGTTGGTGCGTTATTTTGTGGTTCTGAAATGCTTTCTAGCTAATATATTTCTTTACAGGAGAAAAGAACACTTATTGAATGTACACTTTGCACGAAGAAGGCACTTTGGCCAGATAACTTTCCTTAGCTTCTCATTTATATTTTTTATAATGATCATGAGGTTAGAATTATTACTGCATGTACAGAGAAAAAAATGAGTCTCAGGAAGTTTAAACGACATGACAATTAAGTGGAGGAACTAGAATTCAACCCAAAGTCTTCCTGATAATAAAGTTTGTGGAACAAGCTACCTAAATGTCATCTGTTATTAAACAAATTTAAGGTTTTACATAATTAATAAATTTGCTTTATAGATATATGTTATAATAGGGCATTATGAGGAATAAAATTACTTTTTAAAAAAAAGACAGAGAGAAGCCTTCATTTCTCATTGTGAAAACAGAAAAATAATTATTGCCTAAACTAGACATATTTGAGTTGACCAAAAATGAATGAAAAACTCATATTAATTGAAACAGCTCACTGAGACCAAGTAGTAAACTCTTAGCCTTAAGGCTTTAAATCACACCTAAGGTCATCTTAAAAAGGCATGCCACTGTCCCCCACTCTTCCACAAAACCTACAGCACTTTCATGGTGATTAATAATACCCTAGCCATTTTTTTAATGAGTAAGAGGTGGAAGTAGAAGGCAGCTTTCTTTAACAGAAAATATATTGATTTTTATGTTAGCATGTGTGGATTCAAACAAATTCCTTCTTAGCCATTCTCTAGACTTGTCATTTAAAAATCAAGATGATGATTATAGACTTTATAACTATAAGCACATAAAGAATATTATAGTTTGACATACAGAAGGCATTGAAACCTTATTTCCAAGGCCACCACATATGGATGTGCAGGTCGCCACAAGGGTGTCCAATGGAGAAAAACAATGACTAGGTCTGAATTTCTTTGGACTAGCCATCTATTCTAGAGCTAAGCTAAAATCCAAAGTGTCTCATGGGCTAGTGACATCCCTAACTAGTTGAATATCTACTTGATTTACAATGAGATTTGTACTGATCTGTGTTTTAATATTAAGGCCCATTAGGAAAGAGATTTTAAAAGGACACCCATATCTCTTACAGAGGCAGTATCCATATTTTGAATCTGTATAATTTTGGAAGAGCTTATGACATTTTCAAGATGTCTGGAGGTTCTTTATAGGTCACCTACAAGTTAAAACAAACTGATGAACTATTATCTTGCAGATTTCCCATCCTCAACCCTACCTTCATTATTTCCTTTGCACATTCAAAACCTGAGCATCGCCTTGCAGTAGCAAGCTTAGAGATGCAATTTTACCACAGTTCCTAAATTCTTTTCTGAAGTTGAATTGTTTGGGATTGGGGGATTATGTTAACACCCTTTACATTCCTCAAAACATATTGTCCTGGATGCTCAGGCTCCCTAGCTCTTAGGTGCAATTCCAGACATATATTTTAGTCCTGATCTGGTTATAAAGGTTTAGTGGAGTTTGTTTTCAGAATGAAGAACCTGATTCCTGTGGTTTACTCTGGAATGATCTGAGATACTTGCAGTCCCACTGGGCTCCAGCAAACTCTTGATAGAGAATCTGAGCAGAAGCATTTTTAACCTTCTCCACCACATCTAAGTACAGCAACTAGTGCCTCTGCTTGGATTCTAATAGTGGTTTACAAGATGCCTCATACATCTGATATTACAAAATATTAATAACACATTCTGAGATAATAATGGCCTTGAAGATATGTGTGCACAAGAATTTTGTATGTGTTTCTTACTTAGAATCTTTGTAAGTTTAAATTGATGGGAATGGGGAGGAAAAGGAGGATTATAAGTACATTGTTGAAATTTAAGAAATTCATAAGTGTTTATGTAAAAAAGAGATGCCTTCATCTCATCAACTGTTACTAGTAGACAAAGTCATATGCTAAGTGAGTTGCTGTTAAATTTGTCAATATCTTTCATATCAAAGAAACATGTAAATTTCCATATTTCTTCTTCCAACATGTAAATCTTTTAATTTCTTTGCTTAGAATTAAATTTGGAGTCAGAAAAATTTAATTCATTTTTAATTCCTACTCAATTGTATTAATTGATATAGTTCTGTCACATCGTTCTTTAGATTTTAATAAAAATAATATTTATTTAATCTTTTTATTGAGATCTGTTACTGTATGTACCAGGCACGGTGCTATGTTTAATATTCAACTAATTATATAGATTTAATTTGTACTCATTATAAAATGTGAAAACCAAAGCTTAAAGATTTTAATTGACTCACCCAGGGTCACAGACATAGTAAATGGCAATGCAGAATTCAAAAATGAGCTGGACATTTGGAATTATTACATTCCTCTGTTTGACTTGATTGGAGTTTGTCAAACAAATAAAATTAATGTCAGAAAGTAAATTATATTAATAATGTATGTTTCAAATATGCTTTGAATTAAATGGTTCAGATTACTGAGACAAAATATTTTTAATATCTACATAATTTTCATGACTCACTTAGGCAGTGAGTGCATAAAGAATATTATTGTTCTTCTCAAAAATTGATTTAATGATAATACTTATAAGTTTTAAGAACTCCCTGTGTTCTAGAATGTTTTGAGTACTTTGTATGTGTTTTATAACTATGAGATAGGCAATTTATTCTCCTTATACTGGGGATGAGAAAACAAAGGCACAGTAATGTGAACTCATTTGCCCAACACTAAGCAGCCACCAGTGTTAAATTCAGGATTCGCGCCCAAGACGACAACCCCAGAAATCGCCCTCAACTATGATGTGTCACCACCTTCCAGAAAATGAGGCATATAATGCTAAATAAAATGGAAATTTGGCCATTTCTTGGTAAATTTGATCAGTATTGATTTATTCGTGTATACACTGATCAAATCATTATTGAAAGTTTATATGTCTCTGGCATTCTCCAGGGGGTGAAGGGAGGCTGAGGTACAGCAATTAGAAAAATTTTTATCTGCATATCTGCATAGAATTTACATTCTAATTTCTAAGAGAAGTCAGAAGGAACCAAAATCTATAAGTAAAATAAAGAGTATATTTGTGATAAGTGCTATGAAGAACAGAGCAAGAAGAATTGTAGGAAGTTCTAAGGTAGAAGGGAAGAAATATTAAAATTTTAAGTAAAGTGGTTTATATATATGTGTATATATGTATAAAATTAACCCATATAAATGAAGCTTCTGAGAGGACATTGATTATAAACAACCAGATCTATGTGTCTATAATTTGTTCCTCACTTTCTTTTTTTTTCTTGCTATTTAGGTACTTCCCAAATAAAATAGACTTTCCTAGTGCATAAATTACTCTCTGGGAATAACTTGGACACTTTACAAATCT